AAGTATCATTTCATTTTTTAACTCACTCTAAAGTCATTTGCAGCTATATTTTTAATGAGCACCAGTATGCTTTTACGAATAGTTTACCTATATCCCGTTTTTTGTTTTCTTTTCTTTTGCTGATGTTGTAAATTTGTGAAGATTTGTCTTTTGCACATGAAGTGAAGATGATGTGATAAGACGTATGATGACAACTATGACAAGGGTGATAATATTGCCTACAAATGTTGGTGCTAAAAGGTTCCTCTATGTATGATCTCAAAAAGTTGTGAAGTATTATATCTCTGTAAAGATTTTGTATAAGAGGTAAGCAGACTTTTTAATCTTTCTCTTGCATTCTTTTCTAATGTTTGTGGAATACAGCAATTGTACCTTCTCTGCATAGCGTAAAGTGGACAGTGTCCACCTGTTTGATCTGACTGCTGACCTCTCTCTATGCTAAATACCTGGCTCAGTGGCTTCTATACACTCAGTCACAGACCTGGAACAAACATGCAGCATGTGAGGTCAATATATCAGGACTAATGGGAGATGACTGAACTCTGAGCAGGTGGAGATCTGACCCAGAGTACAAATGTGAAAATACTGGAGTTGCCATTGCTGGTCTCCTTCTGAGGAGTCTTGTATCCCTCAATACTTTCTGAGTCTTTGTTGGAACAAATATACAACCATTGAAGTGACAGCTAACACCAGCCAGCACTCCACACTTACAGGCTTGTTTTTAATTTCAAGTTGTTTAACAACATATAGAATCAAATTGGGCTTTTTAGGTGACAGAAACTTTTTACAAACGCATGTCTGAGTAAAATAATAATCTTTTACTAAGCCATATTAAAACATTTTCTTAAAAACAATAGTACACGTGTCCACCTTGTTACATTACTACCATATTGCAACATTCCACAGATTCCACACATATTAGGAACTTGATATACCGAAAGTAATACAATCCTCTAAGTTAGCTTGAAATAAAGACTTGACACGTTTCACGATATTGCTTCTTCAAGAGTCCTCACAGTCTGGGGACAATCTGCATCGTCCAGCACCTGCAAGCAAAGGTGGGAAAGGGTGCAGAAGAGGGTGGAGCAGAGAGACCTGAGAAGATGCACACAGTGCCCAGGTGGGGGCTTTCGAGGGAGATCAAAGCAAAGCCAAACGAGTTACCATCTAACTGGACTTCACTCCGTAATACATATGAATAAGATCATATTCAGATGTACAGATATTCCAACCTTGTCAATGGCCAGGATAGCTTAATAAGCCAAGATATTAGTGCACTCCTCCCCCAAGCCTACTGCCAAGTTATACGGGTATAGTCCTGATGGTGTGTATTGACACTTGCCTCCTCCTCCATCTGGATGGCCGGCCTACGGGTACAGTCCTGATGGTGTGTATTGACACTCGCCTCCCCCTCCATTTGGATGGCCTGAAGGAAGGAGGAGGAAGGAATTTTGCATTCTGCATTTGTGCAGACACACAGTTTACTAGTACACACAAGGGTGGTTCCATAGGACCTTGCAAGTGAACAGAGCCACCCTAAAATAGGATATCAGGGCTAGTGCTCAGGGGACCAGTTTCTGCAGAAAACAAACTTTTAAACATCAAGAAGCAGCATTTATTGTAAATGAATTAATAGCTATACAACGTTTCTACTTTAACACATTTTGTAAATTTAGCAACATCCAACACTATGTAAAGCAGACCCTGACTAAGACTTTTAGTCAAAGGATAATTTGTGCTTTCCAATGTACAGCAGATGCAGAACCCAAAGAAAAAACATTCAGGAGAGTGAATGATTGAAATGAGCAAATACACAGTGACATGAAGCTGTCCAAAAAAAAAAAAACCTTCTTGATACATTTTTATAGCGTTGACCTCTGTCTCTCCATTGCTCTGGTGGAGTGCAACTGCAGTGGCACATCCCTTCTGCTGACGCCATAGGGGAATCCCTGATTGGTGGAGATGAAGAATAACATCACTGCACTCGTCCAGAATCAGTGTCAAACAGAGGACATGCACTGCCTGGGCAGGATTACAGGATGTGGCAACATTATATCAGCCTTTAATCCTGCCATGAGATTGCTCACATAAGAGTGACAACGCCACTGCTGCACTGCAAAGAGGGCAGGGTACATTGTCACCCTCCTAAAAGCAGTGTCACTGACACAATAAAAAAGTAATGCTGTAGAAAATAAAAAAATCATTTGTTATGGGGGGTTAAAGACAAGAGAACAATGATTTTTTGTTTGGTTTTGGGTATACATATATTTTAAAGTGACACTAAATTTAGGAGTTAAACCTTAAAGATGCGTTCAAGTAACTTAACTATTAACAAAAATGTATATTATTTGTGTATTACTCAGCTGTAAATACCTCAAACCATCTCTGAATTCATGCTGACACTGTCCTTCCTTCTGGAGGGTGGCTACTTTTGTTCTCCGTTGTCCCTGTTGTCTACAATCTCAACACAAATTAGTAAACTAAACATGAGATTGTAATCCATCACGGGAGCAAGCTTGGTGCGGTGGCTACTTTACAACACGCACAGGGAACATGGGGAACAAAAGTAGCCACCCCCCAGAAGGAAGGACACTGTCAGAGATAATTTGAGGATCTACAGCCGAGTGATACACAAAGAAGTTACATTGTTGTTAATAGTTGAGGTACTTGAATGCGTTTTTAAGATTTAAGTCCTGAGTTTTGTGTCACTTTAATTAAAGTCCAACCACAGCCAAGGAAATTTTTCAGGATAAAAGTTAGAAACTCTGTCAGGTTTCTATTCTAGTCTGTGTTTACAATGAGAAGATTTCCTCTCACTTCCTGTGTCAATGAGCACCTTCCCTGGGACAGGAAGTAAAGCAAAAACCTGACAGATGTTCTAATTGTTACTTACTCTATTGAAGAAAAGTGATTTGGAAAGCGTTTCTCTTGTGGCCTGTCTTAGTAATGCTCTATGCACAAAAGCAGGGGTAGGCAACCTTGGCACTTTAGATGTTTTGGAACATTACAAGACTCTGACAGGCACACACATGAGTCTCAGAGCCAGGGTTGCCTACTCCTGCATTAAGGTATGACACAGTGTCACTGGGACAGTAAGTGTGGGGAAATATGAACTGCGCACAAAGGCAACAATGAATAATCTAATGAAGAGTTATGACTCACCTGACAGAGGTCCAACCCTTCTTTACTATATCCCAAAATTAGAGAAATGTTTGACTGAAATTGGGTTTTAAGCATAATAAAATGCAGGCTTTCACACCTACTGACACCTGAACCTCTGCAATAAAACACACTCTTTATAGAGGAATATGTAATGCTGTTTGTTGTGGACTCAAGGCTATGAGCATAGTAAACATCACAGCCTATAAAATTTCCTATTCCTCCAAATTATTTTCAGGCTTTACTTTATGAATATTTCATTATCTCAGTAAGTTGATGTTTGTTTTCTGCTCAGTCTGCCATTGATTTGTATTAACTGGGTTAATTTTAAAGTGTGTCAACAGGTCTTTCCATTAATGCCAGATTACAATGGTTGCCTTGTTTCAGAAAACATGGATGTAATACTAGATATCCTGTTTAAAGGGAAAAATTCAGGTAAAAGTTAATTTTGCAAACTCTTTGCTGATGTCTGGTTAATGGAAGCAGTTCCAATCTGATAATCCCTGATAGACAGGGAACAACCCAAAATACCCTGTAATTCCCAAGCTGAATTTAAGGACATGCTTGTCAACCAGAAGATAATTTACAATTTGCACTTACATTCTTTTTAATTGTTGCCTTTTTAAATACCTTAATTCCACCAGCAGAATTCTAGATGGGGTGCAGGACATTTAAGAGCTATTACCAGACCCTTTGATGCTTTAATAGCATGCAATAATTTTTTTGTTTCTTGGCCTGAATAGATCAATCATACCATTCATAAAACAGACAGCACATTAACTCATTTTGTGCATTATGGTTTTGTACTGATCAGGTAGCATGATTGCTCAGATAAGAACTTTAGCTTGTACTAATGGGCACCCTCTTTTTGTCATGACCAGGGCAGCAATTATGAAAATATGAGCCTAATGGATCTGGGGTAGACGTGCCAGAATTTTTCCACTTTCAGACCTGCAAGCACCACTAACCATACAATTACTGGCTCAGGACTTTTATGCTGCTATGTGTGTCTGGCATGATTAACGACCAATTCACCTAAAGCCTAACATTGAACCTTGGGTAAGCAATGTAAGGTCAAATGACCCACCAACTTATTTTATCTTGTTATTTAGCTTTTTAACAGCAATATTTCTCCACTATATTTTGTGTCTTCACCCCCTTTACAGGGCCACAGTAAAGGTGCTATTCTTAAAGCTAGACTCTGCTTTATATTTATTGTACATTTTGGAGAAACCATAAAGGGAATATTGAACTAGCTTTAGACGAGTTGGGTGAACTTGCAAAGGTAGATATTGTCACTGAAGCCTCAGAGAGTTAGTAATATAAGATTCAACTTGCTAGCAAACATGATAAAATAGACATGAGTTTTGCATTTAGAAGAGGAGGTGCCCTGGGGGGTTGAGCAAAATGGCTGTTCACTTTGCAAGGGAATTTGCACTTTGCAGGGGAGGTTTCCCCTTAGTTTAGTCAATGAGGTGAAGCTGTGCTGACTTCCAACACCCAATCATGTGCAAGCAAAAATACTGTTGTTTATTTTCTTTGCAAAGTGAAATTTCACCATGTTCACCAAGCTAATTGAAAATTCCCATGCAAAATGCAAATTACCTTGCAAAGTGAACAGCTTATTTCCTTTCTTAAATTATCCCCATAGTGCCAGGTTCAGGAATATCTGCACTACACTTGAGGAGAGAGTGGTACAAGCTCAACTGTTTTCAGAAACAGAGGGTCATTGTAGGAGCCCCATGTTCATGACGATCTCTGCATTGCCTGATAATGTACCAGTTGTTCTGAAACTAATACACAGTATGCTAGAATAATTTTCTTGGACATGTATGTCTCACCTTCCAGCAGGGCTGCCACTGCCTTCATCTACTTCCCGTTGTTCATTTTTATTTCTTGGTATAGGAGGTTGTATCATTTCAGCAGCTAAAGGGTCAATGTCATGGTCTTCACGTCCCACCCATTCTCCAACCACACAGGGTCTTAGGAGGGAAGAGTTAAATGCCCGTGTGTCCTAGTAAAAGAGCATATGGAATTTATTGAGCAGGCTTTGCAATCACATACTTAAATTGTGACCTAGATGAACAGGCAGATTATAAAGTCATGACGCCTGATCTGCATATTTGTTTAAGGTCAGTAACAAAATATTCAAGTCATTGGATCAACATGACAGTCTGGCAACTAAGGTTTTTTTTGGGAAGATATGTCTGCAATGGCAGCCTCCATATTTTCTCAGTACATGTTTCTTTAGAATGAAACATATGAAAAAGAAGAAATAAAAAGGCAGCCATTTCTGCTCTGACCTGGAACAAGCAAGTCAGTTGAAGTCAGAATACTTGATCTACAGTGCATGCTTGTTTCTGACCAGTAACTCAGATAGCATTGAAGCAACTGGATCAGCCAGGTACCTAGCATTTTTAGCCAAATCAGCAACGGCAGCCTGCATATTCTCTCATTACAGGTTTCCTGTAAAAGGGTTAATGTGCAAGAGAATCAGCCTCTGTTACTGGAAAAGGAGTTTGATGACCTCAGCAGAAACAATTGCACAAGGATGACCCCTACTCATCTCTATGTTGAATGCAGGCTGCCATATGCAGCATGTGTCAGGTGAAGCGTGCATGAACTGTCCATGACAGACTGCTTTCACCATAGAATTAATTGGAGGCCATGCTGCAAACACAGAATTAAGAAGAGAAGATCCATCCAAAAAAAAAGAATTTCATTTTGGATGCAGGTGATGGAAGCAAGGTGAAGCTACTCTAATCTGCTGCCTGACAAAATCAGGGGTCTACCACACTTAGTAACTAAAAATCCTCAAACAGAAAAGGGGTAAGAGCAGAACTAGACACGTTTCAGTGAAACGCAACCTTAGTGATAGTTGTAAATCAAACTGAGCATATGATGAAAAATGCAAAAGGGGTTTACCTTCATCAAACACTGCATTACCAAACAATCATAGCTTTACTCTGCAAAAGCTGAGCATGGTTACCCAACCTCTCACTTTTGAAACCTCCCTACGGGTCCTTTAATATTATGTGTGGCCTCTGTGATCAGTGGGGAAGACCAGAAGGTAAGGCCAAGCTCTAAGCTGGCAAGAAATTCAAGACTTGCAAATAGGTTTCAGTTCCATTTTTTGGGTGGAGTGGGAACCTTTTTCATTGTGGTATGTGTTGCCACCTAAAAAAAATAATCTCTGCTCATCTGACTACAGTAATCTGAAATTTGATTGATTTCTATGGGTTTCATACCTTCGCAGATTACCTTACTGAATGAGCTTTTAAATGTTCTCATTTAAAGGTTTATAGAAATGTATAGATAGGCCAGCTATATTAATGCAGCATATTGTCCTAAGATCAAGAATGAAATTCCACTGCATTGCTTTTCTCACTTCAGGCAGATGATTAATTTATAAGTAAGGTCTGGTAAATATAAATTAGTGCTGTTTCCTTATTTTAGTCAGTCCCTAAGTTCTATTTGTGCATACACAAGCATCCAGTAAATCAAATCACACTCTTTTCCAGCCAGAAAAATAAGACAAACTCCAGTTGCATTTTTTGCACAGACCAGAACATCAACTTGTTTATTGCTCTTTCAGGATTCTTTTTATTTATGACTGGCAATCCACATGCTGAACAGTTGGTAAGAATCACATAAAGTACATCTTGTTCTTCTGTCATCATATTTTTTACCTCTTTAAAAGAGTACTCCATGTTCGCTAATATGTTGCTATAAAACACATATAAGTGCGAGATGAGCCATTTTGTAAATATTATTAACCATTTAAGGACAAGGTATACGGCAACAGTCCTTCTCTGCTATGCACACATCCATGGTTGCAGTTGTGAGGACCTGCTGTTGACTTGACCGCTGAACTGTATAGCAAAGCTGTTGTCAGTGGCGCGCTCAGCTCTGATCGTGTTACAGTATAAAAGCTTGTTAACGCATAAAGACAGAGTCACCGGAAATTCATATAGAATGTCTACAACACTAGTTGGAATCCTGTGGTGCATCTGTACAACAAATGTTGGTGCTTGCCCCAGATTCATGTATTTGTTGGAAACAGGTACAAAAATTTGGCGCAAGCACTGACATTTGCGCTGTGGCTGCAGTGTCCATACCAGATACTCTGTCCTGCAATTCATCACCTCCTAGGGCCACTGCACCTGTCACACAGTGATAAAACAGCCAAGGAGTTTTACTAGTGGGTGGTCTAGTCTAGTTTCCGATCCGATCCTCTCCCCTGGTGATTGACAGCAGGCAGTGGGAGCATTCCATAGTCAATAGACAGCCTATGGCCTATGCCTATTGGCTATGGAATCCGGCTACTACCTGTTGTCAATCACTAGCAGAGTGGACCTGATGGCGACCTAGTCCCTCAGGTACCACCCACTATTTCATCACTGGTTGTTAGGGACACTGTTGGCTGTGAAACCTAGGAGCTGCTGAAGCAAATCTGTAAGTAGAATTAAAAGTCTTCTCTGTTTAACCCCTTGTTATCTTGTCCTAATTAACTCCTTCCTCTCCCTGTTCACTAGATTTTCTTTACCATTTTTTTTAAACATGTTCAATTTTTGTTATGTTTTATTTTGTTTCGTTGTTCATTTTTATAGAAAACAGATAAGCAGCCCTAATTTCATAGTTACATAGTTAGTCAGGTTGAAAAAAGACAAATACCCATCGAGTTCAACCTATAGTTTCATTTGCAAATGACTAATCCCCCGCCTTGTACCAGAAACACAATTTTAGTGTAACAATATAAAAGGCGAATAACAGAAATACTTTATATTTGTTATAACATTTGTTCTCATTTTTTACTTTATAATATAGAGAGCATTAAAAAATTAGTGGAAGAGAACACTACCAAAAGAAAGCCATGTTCTCAAAAAAAAAAAAGTACTGTACATGTATAATTTCTATATTATAATGCAATGACAAAGTTATTGTTAAATGAATACGCCAAAGCTGGAACGTAAAAATGGCTCTGCAACTTAACGGGTTAAAATTACCTTTCCATTTCAATCTGCATTCAGATAGGATTTTCGAAAACTGCCAAAGAATTCAAATGTTGTTTCCTTGCAGTCATGTCCTTGGAATTCCGATTCCCTGCTAATGGGATTGCCTTGCTGCTCTCCCCAGAACTCTGCAGAGCTGGAGGTTATATTTCAGACATCCCCAGCACTGTTCTTAGCCTTTTTACAAGGAGGCTTTCATCTTTGGTAACATACTGGCCAAGGGTATTACACATCTACAGGAATGCCGAGATTCAGGAGCTCACTTTACAACACTGATGGTTCACTTTACAAGACTGATTGTATCATATATAACAGGCCCATCCTACCTTGCAATGTGGAAAGATACTATCTTTATTATGGGGAACTACAACACATGCATTTAAGCCAGTCAGAATGAATGTGTTAAAACACGACAGTGTAAATGGGCCCTTATTGTTTATGATTCAGATGCAATGTTACAACTTAATTTGATTTAAAGTAAACTTGTGTTTACTTTAAAGCTGAAATCCATGTATTTCCTGTGTATTTCATCAGTTAGATACATAGATGGAATACACAGATGGAAGCTGTTTTAAAGCAGAACTAAAGTCTCACCTCTTCTCCAGTGATGCAACATCTACAAACATCTACAAACATCTTTGCCAATGCCAAAATCATCTCCAGTCTTTTTCCGGGTTTGGCATCTTCAGCCCTCTTGACTGGCTGGCCAGGGATGAAGAAACTCATCCGACACCAAGGCATGCAGAGAATGTATACTAAGCTATAGATGCGCAGCTCAGTGTACATTCTAAAGAAGTTTGGAAACAGGCAGTAATGAAAGTTTGATTACAGAAGACTTATATTTTTTTTTAGCAAGTTAAAGTGCGCTTTAGGTGCTAAAGTAGTTGTATTTCTGTCCATCCAGTCCTGAGAATTACACAACCCTGCTGTACAGCATGGCTGGAGGGTGATACCACCTGTTACAGTTCTAAGCTGTGGAAGGAATACATTGGTGGCCACTCGACCCCCAGTCTGCTGACTGGATGGTGCAGGAGCAGCAGGAGAATGATTAAGTCATCTCGCTACTCACTCTTCTATTTCCTCTTCTGAGGACATTCCTTGTCAGCCTATTTGCACACATCACACCTGACAGTCCTGCACCTCCCTTTCCAAGTCTAAAGCTGGCCATACACTAGTAGACTTCCCGATTATACCATCAGACACTTGACAAATGTCAATCGAAATTTTTCTTTATTGTAACGTTCGATTTTTGGAATGAATGTAGTTTCCTGAATGAAATCCACATTTACTGTTAGAATTTTGTTTGTTTAAGAAAACATTTCCATCCTGCTCCTTAGGCCGTATAGACCCCATGAACTATTATTATTATTATACAGGATTTATATAGCGCCAACAGTTTGTGCAGCGCTTTACAATATAAGGAAGACATTACAATCACAATTCAATTCAAGACAAGATTGTAAGGAGGGCCCTGCACCTGAGGGCTTACAATCAAATAATAAAAAGCTGAAAGAAAGTCCTTTTGTACGAAAGTTATTTGGAACATCTAAGCAGTGTATGGCCAGTTTAAATCTGCTGTTTAGGGGCTTGAAATGGGCTGTCATAGCAAGTCAAATTCAGCTACTTACAGTAGTTGCATTTTATAAAAATGTATTTAATGATTTAATAATAAATACGTAGCTGCATTCATGTCTCTCTTTTATATCCGTATAAGTTCAATGAGAGCACCAAACAAATGATTCTAGTCCAATTCCTTTAATATCAGTACTAGTTCACAAAAGGATAACACAAAACACCCCAGGCAATTTAGGGGCCCAAAATATCTCCTCCTTCCTCATGGCTGAGATGTAGTAAATGGTAGGACTTAGAGATGGCATAATCACCAAAAATAAATCTTGATTGGAAGTTACAAGATACCAGCAGTCACTGTGTCAGCCGAACGCTCTGGCTCTCTGGGTTCGATTTAAAAGCTTTACAAACAGTATGTGCCTCCTTTGCATGCAAGCTGGCAGTTTATGAGCTTTGAAGTGAGCAAAGGTTGTTGCCAGACTACAAAAAAGGCCAAACTGGTATTGTCTGTGATGTTTATAAGAGTATATGATTGAAAAGGAAAAGATTAATGTTAAGTCAACCAACACAGGATTACTGAACCAGCAATTCTTTTGTTGATTTTTCCTCATAAGAGTTAAATTATTTAAGCAGAATAGTGGCTGACTGCCTGAGCCCGTGTTGAACTGGAAATAAAAAGCAGTCCTGGCAGTATGGAAGAATGGCAATTTACTTTTGTGCACGCGATCCAGCTTTGATTAGCACAATGGAGCAATTATGTTTTTTGACAGCCACACCTGTTCACAGTGGTGACTCTTCTTCTATAAAATCAAGCTTGTTTAAAGGAAAAGCAGCCAATGAGAGCTTACACTGGGCCCAAGATACTTTTGGACATAATACTCTTCTGGTATTCCAGAGCTTTTAGGTGACTAGATCAAGGGATGCCCAGCACTGTCTGACATGTAATTGTGTCTCACAAATTTATTGTGTAGAACAGCATCACTGATGTTTGGGGGCCTCGTGGGGTTCCTTTTCGCAAGGCAACATGAAGTCACCCATGCTTTATGTTGCCTTGAGATCTGGGTTTGACACAGCACTATTTGACGCTTTCATTTGGAGCACCCACCTATTATTTCAAGGTCTAGTACCATCTGGAGCACAGCTTCATATGGTCTTTTAGGTGACCAGACTAGACCGAAGTCCTAATACAGGTCTGAGCTGCAGTTTACCTGGTGAATCTGCTTTTAGGACTTCTCTAAAAATACCAAAACTGTGTATGATATTATGCATTGCATCTGTACTATTTAGGAAATGAGTAACTTATTGTTAATATTACCTGCTCAAGGTCATCTGAAACAGCAATACCTGTAGAACAAAATAAAAAACAATGAAGTCAAAAACATTTTACATGCCAGGGTACAAAAAACACTGTGAATAATATAAAGCATTAATTGCAAACACTTCCAGCATTACCCAATAATAAAATATATTTATTAATCATACATTTACATGCACACATTTATACATATCTGTCAAACCCCAGTAAAGACAGGCCTGGAGCACATGAAGGAAATTAATGGTGCGGGGGGACAGCATGATAGGGGGAGAAGGGGAGAGAGGCAAAGAGTGGTAGAAACTTTACATGTAAGAAAGGGTTGGTAGGAGGGGTTGCTTACCTTAGTGGCTGGGAAGTTTGCCAAGGTGGGACTTCTTAAAAAGTGATCTGAGCGGAGGTGGGGGGAATTTTTCAGTTGAAGGAGCAGCCAGACAAACAATTTTCCCTCCCGGCTGCTCTTGTTTTGTTTTTTTCATTTTGTTGTGGGTTTTCCATCCTATGGTTTGTCACACGGGTCTGTTGGCAGTTTGAGGACCTTGAAGGTGGATTAGATGTCTGGTTTATTGGAATAATTTTGGGGACCCATCCTAGGTGTGGGGTCCTTTAAGTGGTGGTCGATTGGTATGGCCACTTATGTTTGGGCTAAAAGTGTCTGCGGTCAACAGATATTTTGTCCCTGAGGTAATGGGTTTGTGGCTGGGGGCCCATCATTTAGTTATCTGGAACCGCAGATGCAGGTCGTGTGCCTTCAGGGACTCGGAAGCCAGTGTTATGTTGTTTAACAATATTTGTAATTTATGTATGTATTTTTTATATGGAATGAAACAAGTGGCTGCTGTGGCCCCTTTAAAATCCATACAGGTCTAGTTTGATTTTTGTTGGGGAAATGTGTGATAGGTGGGGGTCTCAGCAAGTTTAAGTGAGGTGGCTGGTTAGATTGGCTTCCTTAATCACCCTTGTCATGCTTATAAACGCACATAAGTGTCAAACTTGCTACTACTTACTGCGTGACAGATTCTCCAAAGCTTGCCCAAGCTTTTTGCTTTCCTGAAGGATGTGGTTTAATTCATCAAAATCACGACTATCTGGTTTTGTCCTCCAATCCCATTTAGGATGTTCAATTGACCTGGGCACTGAGAAACCAGAAAACATTTGTATTACTCTAAAGTACACCAGAATTGACCATAGCTATCATTAAAGTAGATGAAAAATCGAACTAAACAAAATTTAATTTGCTAAAGCACTGTCTATTATAAACTATTGCTATTTTGCATTGTTCAGACACTTCCTGTAATAGGTTGATAACTTTCCCAACGGAGAGTACAAGTGGTCATTTGAACACACATTACGCAGGCATGGTCTACTCTTGTCACCCTCCGAAAACCCACCCTGAGAAATACCATGTAGCTTTTGCTGGAGTGCATGCATGTAGACAGGAAGTGGACGTAGCAAGGCTGCAGGAGATCAGCATCACTGAGATGTCATAAAAAGTGAAAACAAGTATCGCATTTTAAAAATGACACCTGTGTATAGTACAAAGTGCTTTATCAAACAATAAGCTATTCATTTAGGGTTTATATCTTCAAATTCACATTTTTATAATTTAGTTTGGTTTATAATAATACAACAACAACAACAACAACAATAATTATACCAGCCTGTCTCAACCCTAGGGTGTCTTCTGGCTCCCTCAGGGGTGCCTTGAAATTGTCCCAAAGTGTCATGCCTTTCCATGGTGCACATAGGCCACCAGCTTTTTATCCCTTTTGTGGGATCCCCTATTAAAATCCATACCAGACCCATTTTGGATAAGGCTTTTGGAGAGGCCACATGTAATTTATTTACATTTTCATCTTTACATTTTAGACTGGGGTGCCTTGAGAATTTGCATACTTTTAAAGGGTGTCATGAATATAAATAATATGTGTGTGTGTGTGTGTGTGTGTGTATGTGTGTATATATGTGTGTGTATACATATATATATATATATACATATATATATATATATATATACACATACATACACACACACTGTATATGTAGTATATACACACATACATGCACACACACAGACATATACATACACACACACACTTTATCTCTGCAGACAAATACAAGAAAACCCTTCATAAGAACAGAGGTGCACCTGAAAAGTGGTGAAGAGACAGTTATTGTTTGTTATAATTGTTTTTCTTCTGTGTTTAATCTTTGTCCTTGGCCCCAAGCTAACGGCACACTAGTGTGCCGCGGCACAGTGGTTGAAAAACACTGACATAGACATTAAAAATAAATTAGCTTGTGTGTAATAAAACCTTACATATCACTGTGTATTATTGTTTTAAAATGTAACATCAAAAGTCTTAGCAAAGTCAGATCTATAGTAGTCTGAGTTTAAAGTGTATGTTACAATAAACATGTTCTTTCATAAACTGTATTTATCTGCGATTTAATATCATATGCTGTAAATCCAGCCTGTTCCTTTTTGAATGCTGCAGTTCCCAAATACATGTACTCCTTCCAAATCCCAAATATCTGGTGATCCTTCCAGTTCTTTTTTCTTTTCATTCTGACCACGCCAGGTATGCCTGTATCTCCCATGGTCAGATTAGCTGCCCCGTCTCCAGCCCAGCCCTCCTGCCTTGATTGACAGTTGCAGGGAATTTTGACCCATTCATCAAGAACCAACCCAGAAATAGGTTCTCAGATGACCAGATTGCTGATACATGGGATTGGGGTGGGCTAGTGTAATATAGCAATACCTGTGCTACGTCTATAGGCTGTGTTCTGTTTGCTTTGCATTGCCTAATTATTATATCCTTATTGTACATTCAGGTTAAGTCTGCTCTAATACACTATCTGGTTATTGCTCTTCTTACAGCAAACAGCTCTCTCCTATAAATATATTAATGCTTTCCATCATCAGCAACATGATAATCCTAGTGTGAACCACTTCACTGCATAGCTAATTCAGTTACTGGATGCATCACACACGAGCCAACAGGGAGATTTTCACTAAGTGACAGACTGTGATCAAGAAAAAGCTCTGTCACTGATTGCAGTACAGATGATGCCACATATCTGTGCCCAGCAAGAAGATAAGACCTACTAGAGCATTAAAAGTTTATAGCATTATAGCATTTTCTATTAGCAAGAATGAATCCAATTACATCAATTATTTCAAAATAGAAAACATATCATATGAAAACAAATATTTTTATAACTGAAAGCTGAAAACAAAAAAAGATTCATCATTTCACAGTCAGCAATGTTTTAATAGAAGGGCAAATAATGCATATGCCATGGGCCACTAGGGGCACATTAACTATGCCTTTGCAAGCCTCCCTAATGCCTAATATGTCCATAACTACATTTATTATTACAACAGACACATTAGGCAAGGCTAAATATAAATGGGACCTGAAACCTGTCTATTTATCATACTTCTGCCATTCTTTAGGTTTGGGTAGACACTGACACATTGAGTTCATCCACCTACTATTTACATCTCTTAAAACACAAATTTAGCTTTGGTGTGGGGGCTTACCTAAACATTCTAATCAGTTTGTATTAGGCAGACCCTAGCATTTGTTGGTAGATCAAAAGGAGTTTCCACAATCGGATTGTACAATATAAAGGTGCCCATACACTGCACGATTCTCGTACGAGAATCGCGGGAAATCCCGCGATCGTACGAGAATCGTGCAGTGTATGGAAGGCGTGCAACCATTTCTACTGTACGGTCGCATGTCTTCCATCGAACCAGCAGGCTAGAAAACCCGCCGGGAATCGTACGATTCTCGGCGAGTTAGTCGCCTGCTGGTTCGACAACTGCCGAACGGGCCGGTGTGCGCACGCGCATACTGCCCGTTTGCAGTCATCGTAAGCCCACCCCTCATTACAGTCATCGCAAGCCCGCCCCTCAGGGGGGCGGGCTTGCGATGATCAAGAGTACAATCTGCCTGTCCAAGATGGGCACATCGTACGTTTTTTTAATTACTTTACAACCCTCACAAGACTAAGGTCTTGCGAGGCTTGTAAAGTGTATGGCCACCTTAAGGCAAGCTTTAAGTCCTCTAGTAACAGCCTCACCCTAACCCTAATGACATGTCAATTAAAAAAAAGTTAAGAAAATGCCATGCCTCTTCCTCTAATATATTTGTAATCCATGAGCAATAGTGTAACACCATCATAGCGGCATCTGTAATAATGCAGATATGGTATATAAATCCTAATTTCTTTCACATCTATTGCGGGACATTGGAAGTCATAAACCTTCAGAATCTCTAAAAGCAGTCCAACTGAGGAGTGGAAAACCCAGAAAATTACTGCTAACAGGCCCATTATATAATAAAAAAAGGAACTGGGGACTGCTTGCAGGTCCCAAGCACCTTACTGGCATCAGCAGAGGATGAAACATCCAGCTGGAAAAAAAGTCTTGCAAACAGAGGCCTGGTGCTGAAATGCCCAAGAAGCATTTACAGTCTTTAAGACCATAAGCCTGCACAATAGTTGGATTGCAGGTACCATGGTGCTGCACAGCTAAGACACCAGCCATTTTTGAAAATTCTGTTGAGAGCTGAAATAAGCACACTGGCAACCTTGAAAGTTGGTATACCTTAAAGTAACTGTTTTGGGAGACATAAAAATGCAGGGTAAAGTTACTCTTTAAGGGAAGGAGATACATGAAAGTGTCACTGGTATATGCTATTTATTTGTTTAAACTGCAGGCAGGGGTGTAAGTAGAAATCACAGAGCCCCATAGCAAAATTTTGTTAGTTATGCCACTAGCAGAGCCCCAGAGGAGAGTGACCCTGCAGAGCCCACCATAGACTCTCTATAGTGGGCTCTGCAGGGTCTGAGATCTCTTACCTGTCAGCGCCTCTGTGGTCGCCGGGCCCCGTCTCCTGTTCCTGTTCCTGTTATATCAGCGAGAGCTCACAGTGGGCATCTGGGCAGTGAATTTTAGGGCCAATTCACACCAAATGCTGCACTAATCAAACAGGGTCTAGTGTGTAGAGCACTGGCACAGTGCTGAAGCGCTGACATCGGCACATCTAACGGTGTACTTTTTTGTTAGAACTTTATTGAAATGTCACAAGTGACATTTCATTCAGTTCTATGGGCACAGCGGGGTGTGAGGTGGTTGTACCATGTGGCATCCCACTGCATTGGAAAAAAAAGCATAGCGTACCTTACCCTAATCAGCACATACCACTGCATTCCTACTGCAACGCGGTGGTTTAAATGGGCACCATCCGTGACAAGGCAAATTGCCATGTCTTGTGTTGGGGCTGCAGTGGAAACGACGGTGGGTGTAGCTCCAACACAGATGGTCATTGCCTGCTAAAAGCAATCTGTGAGATAAGCAGGAGCACAAAGCCTGCAAAGATACAAAAATGTATGGTATTTCTTCCTTCTGTATATAACCACAGTAGTGGTTGTAGTCTGTTTTCACTGGTGGTTTGGCTGGAGATGTCCTAATATAACACTTAAATCAGGCCGTATAATGCTTGACAAGGGTATTGTCAACTGGCTAAACAAGCAATGCCTCCAACTCAGTCCCTCTTTCACTTAATCGACACAACACCGGTATTGGATTTTAGTGGCCATCGCAGCCATTTTATTAAGTATAAACCTATATGACAAAAACCTTAACAAAATAACTGACAACGGGAATTAAGGTCTTTGAGGGTCATCCCACAACAAACCAATCAGTATCTTCCTTCCAGCTGCACGACACTACCTTGGGGACTTTGTAGTATAACAGCAGATACCAAGTCACTAATGACCCGACCCGTTAACACAAGGATGCCATACCCTAAACGGCTCCCCACTCTCAATTAAACATCAACTGCATATGTTGCTCCTCAAGGACCCCAATACCCTGCCCAGCCGCAGTGACAATAGTAAAACTGAAAGAAAAAACTAAATCAGTCATAGAATGCAAAAGGGTTACACACCAAGAAAAGGACAACAGAATAAGAGAACAGCAGGGCTGGAGGCTGCTTGCACACCAGAGACTCCATCTGGATCCGGAACTTTCTTTCCTCAGCGATATATCTACCACTTCTCCTCTCAGCACCCTGACTGATCAGGTAAGTGTCCCACCTTAACCTCCCTTATCTAAAGGAACAAATTAACCCTCGCAGCCCCCCTTTTGCCTCTACAAACCCAGCCATGCAGGCCTTACACAAATAGTTCCGTCTGCTGTTCCAGGCCCGGCTTTACTTTATACCACACAAACATTTCTAGCAGGAAGTCGTGAATACTGAATGTTATTTTTAGGTGACAAGCATGGCACTGGAGTGATACATTGCACTCCATATAACATTTTTTCCACAAGCTATCATAATGAATAACTTCAACATCTGAAACTGACACTTTCCTTTATGGGATTGTCAGATTCAGAATTGTATGCAGAATCAAAAGAAACAGCAATCTCTCATCTTGTAGCAGATTAGAAGTGTCAGGTTATATCACATCTCTGTTCCGCACTCCCTAAATAAAGAACACACAGCTGTCATGATATGTCACACAATAATAAAGGGCTTAGGCATGATAGAAATTGTTATTAGCACACCAATGGAGAATCAGAAAACTTGAGCTCGCCTGCATTAAAAAATTGCAGTACTGCTTGTAATTATCAGCCTGGACACAGTAGAATCTTCTTATATGTTTATATGGTATTTGCATGTTTCACTTCCATCATAAATCAGAAAAACAAGGAATGTATTCTTCATTTCAGGATAGCGGAGCAATGCAAATCATTGCTTGTCTATGTGCCCAACTGTACATGCAGAACCACTGGTCCACCCACTTTCCTAAAATGGTAATTAAATCCTCTATTTTTTACATCTGTGATGGAAGTGAGACATGCAAATACCATATGTTTTAAGAAGGCTCTACTGTGTTTCCCACTGATGAACGGGAGAGGGGGATTTTGTTCCTTTTAGCCCACCTCACACTATCCTGTATGTTTTAGTCTTGTCTTTTAAAGGAGAACTATGGGGTTAAGGCTTTTCCCTACAGTTCTCCTTAGGGTAACGGGAGGACACAAACTAGCATCCTCCCGTCACCCTAAGCTCAGTATACCGCGAGCTACTGCTCGCGGTATACTGAGATGCCGCAGCTGAAGCGGATCCTGACAATTATGTCTGGATCCGCCCAGCTGCGTGAGTGACAGCTGGCTCTGCCTATCTAGAGGCAGAGACAGCTGTACCCTCCCCTGTCCGATCCGCCAGTCAGCGCTGGCGGATCGGAGCAGGGAATCCAGCCCCTCCCCTGTCACGGCAGAGAGCTGTGACAGGATCGAGAGGTGAGCGAACACCGGTATCTGTTCGCTCACCTCCTGATCTACTGAGCCGACCCGTGACAGTCTCATTGTCACAGGTCGTCTAGAACTATGAGGTGAGTGAAAAGCAGTTCTCCTTTAAGTTAAAAATTCCCCCTAACAATAGGGTTAAAGTGCATATATAGCCCAAAGGGTTACCATGTTGTCTTGATTTGTATTGTAACTGTAATGCCCCCTTTATATTGTAAAGCACTGCGTAAACTATTCAATCCTGTATAATAATAATAATTCTGCAGAGAACAGCACAGCCTTCAGTGTGAGAATTGTAGCAAGAGCTGTATTTTCTCAAGCATTTTACTAGGTTTTTGTTTTGTTTTGTTTTGTTTTTTACTTAAAGAGCTTTACCCATGTCTTTAAAATAACAACAAACACACCTTTAGAAATGTTTAGTAATGGCAAGCTACAAACCCATACTTCTAGATAATTGCCGGCTTTGTATTATTTGCATAACTTATTTCTCTATTCTTTCCCAGTCTTCTGACAGTGGTCATGTTAACTAAGGGCAGATTACTAGCTATCCATATACTTCCTGAAACTCTGGCACATGTGACTAGACATGTGGCTAGGACATGTGACCATGTACATCATCTCAGGGAGGAGGAAAATGCCTTCACTGATTTCCCAGTTGATGTAACCTTCCCAGGACGCAACACTTTGGTGCATACAACATTTGTGACAGAACTGGACCAGAAAATGGATGAACTCTATTTGTAAGTAAATTAAAAATAAGTTTAACTAATGAAAAATGTTAAATTATTTTAAATCAGCATGCAGAGCTGCTGATTTTTAGTGAAAGGGGGTCCACTTTAATAGTTGGGGCTCTTTTAATAGAAAAGGAATGAAGAACTGATTGATTTGACTGCTATACTCTACTTACACGACTTTGACTCAGGCGATGGCGGTGAAATATTGCTGACTGCAAGGTCACTTTTTGATTTCTTCGGCTTTTTTGCATTCACTTGCCAGGGTTTATCATAGCTCCTTAAATCTCTTCTGGTTCCTTTGTCTTCTGTGAAAAGAAATACATTATGTTTTAAAAATGAATATGTGTTATTCAGAAAATGGCAGATTCTCTTAACCAACAGATCCCTGCCAAGAAGCTATCGGGCAGGCTGGAAACAACAGATTTCCTAAAGAAGAGCTGTCAAGGTATGTTTTGTGAGCTTTGACATGTGCACATGTAGGACAGATGATTAAATATCTGGTTATTAAAACATCAATTCACTATAAGCTAATTTGAGCTGCAGACAAAAAAAATTGTGTGAAAAGAAATGTACATATTTTTCACACAATAATTAAAATACGGATCTAAGTAAAATGGTTTGTTAGATAGTTGCTTTTCTGTTAAAAAAAGGGGCGTATAAAAGACACATTTAATCCAGGCATGTAGTGATTAAAAAACAAAATCCTATGTAAAGTCTATCTAAAGCCATTTTTCAATTTTGAGTAAAGAAATAAACAGTCAGTTTTAAGAAAAACAGCACATGTTTTTTTTTTTTTTTTTTTGTCATCTGTGTCCCATTGGGAAGATTTGACTTCTGTACTGAAGAAAAAACAGGCAGAGAAAGGAAATCTCTCTAAAGTCAATGGAAGAGGTGCCCCTATTGGAAGATCTTCCCTCTATTCCTGTTCTAAGAACAAATCAAAATTTAGGATTTGTATGTACTTTTAGTTAGGGATGCACTGATACCAGTTTTTCAGTATCGAGTATGAGTACCAATATTTTTTTTGGTACTTGCCGATACTGAATACCATTACAGGAAGTCCCATTAGGAAGCCAGGCGGCATGTAATGACTTGCTGCCCAGCATCCTGATGACGAGGAATCATGGGGCTGACTTTGCAGCCTATCATAAAGCCAGGGGGTGGGTAATCACTGCTGTTTTTTGTCTAGGTGCTAAAAAAAAAAAAGTTATACTCACCTGAATTGTTAAGCCGAATCCCTGCTTCCACGGTCACTGAAACGCGTCTCATCCTCCACTACACAGATGGAATGTTCCTCAGCGTCCGCATGTCTATACATTTATATAGAACGTGATGACGCAAGGAATCATAGACCGCTGCAGAGGAGGGGTAGAGAGGCTCTAGGGATCGGTCTAGGAACAAACCAGCTCGATTGATCAGGGGAGTATATATATTTTTTAGAACCAAGAAACAAACAAGCAATTAACCCTTGCAATGCGGGGAGGAAGAAGCCCCACTACAGGGGTTAATACATTTTTCACCAGAGTTCTTCTTTAAGAAAACGCCAGTGAATCTATTTATGTATGTTTTTTTTACTTTAAACTGTCATAAATACTTGAATCTCTTGATATAGGCCTCCTGCAATCTCCTGTGCAGCAGGGTTCAGACAGGCAGTGGTAGCAGCAGCACTATCAGCCAGTCAGGTCTTTAAAGCTTTGCACACTGATCATGCTTGCAAGAGCTTACAGTTCCCATGTATGCATTTGTTTTAAGCCGTTTGCCTGGAACTCAGCTTTAATTTAAAATAGTCAGCTAGCTGTGTAAGCATGTTCAGCTAACTAATTTAATTTAAAAAAATCAATATGCATAATTAATGTTTGCAATGCAGCATGAACAGATGCAAATTCACCATGACTGCACATGTGTGGTATCACTCATTCTATTTTCCTACTTAAGTAATTGCTAAAAGAACCAAATAGAATACACCTGTTGTCCAGCCATAGCAGAAAATAAATGTTTCTGGTGGAGAAATATTTGGAAAACATTGTTAATCAGGAAGCTAGGATCTATAACATCAATTCATCCTAATACAACCCCATTAGTTTTAGCTGGGTTTACAATCTTTTTGATTTAGGATCGAGTTACCACATTTGTAGTAATTTGTGTCCAAGTCCCAAAACCATACCCTGTTCTGCATATTTGTAGGTGTCAGATAAGGTGGCCCGGTAAGGGGGTGAGTGGGGTCCCTTCTTATAGTGTGGAGATATGCAACTTTGAGTGAGGGAATTATGTAGCCTGGAAGAAACCCCGCTCTCTGATTGATGTAGAGCAAGGGGTGTGGTGCAGAGTTTAGATTAGGCCAGGCCCTTGGGTGATGACCAAAAGAGTGAAAAGTAGAGTACACCAACTGTGTAAATCATAAGCAAAGTAGAATGACACGTAAATGTGATGCTGGTGTACATTTCAAGCCAGAGATCCAAGTTGGGTACCTGCGCTCGTGCTAGTTATTGGGTAATTTTAGGTGGTTTCAATTAATTATTTGTAAGTTGGAATTCATATATGATGATGGTTTTTGATACTATTTATTTAAATATATAAACATTAAAATATTGCAATATGATTAAAACCTTTTGATTATGCATTTTTCTGTCCTTGGTATCTCCAATTGTGAAGGTTAGAAATAATATAAGGATACAAGTTGCCTTGTCAGCGCAGTGGAGTATATAATTTGTCTAGCTGTTGTACTCCAGTGACATTAAGCTTCCAACACCCCATTCGTCTGAGTGGAACCAGACCTCCCCCTAAATTTAGAGAGAGCCCAACAATCCCAATACGGCTCCGCATATGTATGTGTAACGGCCTCCGCCGTCAGCAGCTAGCAAGGACGGAGGATGCGGCAGCCAGCCGCTCCTTCGCTGGGCCGATTGCGCTCCATGGTGGAGCGCACGCTCCTCACTTCCGGTTTTCGGGACCCCGTGCGTTCCACCGTGGAACGCGGAATCGCGCCAATGCGTGCCTCGGCTCCTCCTCCTCATCATAGGCCTATTTAAACGCCCAGACGAGACAGCATGGGGTTCCAATATTGAGCCAGAACGCCTGTCTCCTGGGACCCTCCATAGCCTCCAGATTGTGCCCTCCAGCCAGTCTCACCAAAACCGGATACCACAAAGGACCCCCAGCTACCTCCATCGGAAATCACCTAATCGCAAGTATCCGAGTGCAGTTGCACACTCTGCCATCAGGACTGTATATTCTTGAAATACAAATTGCGAAGCTTAACTACTACTGGGGAACTGTACCAATGCCAAATAACAGTGTCTTGTCTTCTATGCCCTGCTAATTCATTACTCACTAAATGTACTCCGCAGCTTGTTGATTCGCTTACTTTAGGAATAACCCTCGCCAATCCATTTTATTATTTAATTTGAGGCTGTGATGCTAAGAACCCTAACTCTCCGTTAAGTTGAGAGTGAAACCAGGGTTCCATACCTGAAAAGCCTCCGCAGCTGCGATCCACATACCCCCCAGTCCGTAACAGGCGTGACAGTATGAATCAATCTCAGGCAGTAATCCCATAAGTAATCACTTCCTCCTTTTCAATGTATGGTTCCCAATCTGGCATTTAGTGTAGGAAATTATCAAATTTCACATAGCATACATTATTTAAAAAGGTATTTATATCAGTAGAAGACAAACTTACATTTCAAGATGCTCAGACAGCACTTATAGAACGCCTTGAAATGGGTCTTCTACTTAAGGATTGTTTTATACATATGTTGGGAAATAATATAAGTGTGTTGGAGTCAATGCTATATGCTATTCTGACCTTTATAATTTGTGGTGCAACTAATTTGGTGAGTTTACCAAATCTAAAAAATAACGCTCTTCGGATGCATATAGTGGTGCACTGTTGAGTTTGAAGAACCTTTTTTATGTTTGCACAATTGTGGATGAATTTGGGACTATAAATTGTTTCCCTATAGATTGACTATAGATTTATTTACTATTGATTAGTATTTTTAATTTATGTAAATAAATTCTTTATTTCTATGTTTATTGTATGGGGCATTGTGGGAAAATCACTGAGGTGAAAATCATATACAAGTACATATTTCTAGGGCAGTGCAATTGTATGGTTCATCAAATTTGGGTGAAGTATTTTCCATTCTTTGCACAGCTTGCTCACTTTAGGTAGGGTGAAGCATGGGTCCTGCTCAGCTCACCTCTGTGAAGTACAAAACACATTCCTCTATATTATGGAAAAAAGGGAGAGGGGAAGGTGTTCTGTAATCCTGTCCTAGGGGGACAACACTGCTCTTCCATAGATATAATATGGTGAGTGAATGCTGTCACCCTAGGATAGGAAGTGTGTTACTGTCAGCATCACCAGGTGAGAAACAAAAGTCTGACAAAAATAATACAGCCACCACATCTAAGGACCTCTTTATTTTATTTTTGTTCTTGGGTTAAGACACACTTTAAAGAATAATATACAACAAATGCTTAACCTGCAAACTACCTATCTTTAAAAAAATGTGTGGCTTGTTCACACTAGCTGCATTGGGCAGCATTGCCCAATCCAGACGAATGTAAGATAAGGCAATTTGCCTTATGTCCTAGGGCATCAGTTCACACCAATGTGCTGTGCATTGCAACATGCAGTGCAAACCAATTATATACAGCTGTATAAAAAAAAGCAAGCACTGCAATGCGTTTTAACAAAGCATGCACACCTACTGGTGTGAATGAGCCCTAAGACAGATAATTGTGTATTATAATATATTTATTTAAAAGTTTATTTCTTGCGTTAGTTTTTTAGGTACTAATAACTAACAAATGTAACAAAAGGTTTTTCTTCACATATAATGTACATCTGGATATTATGGTTGAATCTCATGTTTTCCAGAACAATAAAAAGCATCTTTAAAATAAATAAATAAAGCTTACCCGATTCACTTTCTGCCCACAAAGCTGCTGATCCAGAGAATGTTCTTGGTAGCTGAGCAACATTTCCCAATTTTGATTGAAGATGATTAATTAAAAATGGAATTGGCTGGTCTGGTGTCTCTGTGATTAGCTTGGTCATTAACTCCTAATAAAAACACAAAGAATCGGATTAGAAAATAATATATTTAATATGATGTGTGTACATTAAACAATTACTGGGCAAAGTCACAAATCCCAGAGTTGCCTGATGCCCTGGAAATACTGACCTTTCACAAAAATTATCTATATTCTAATATTATGCTAGCAATGACTGAATGCAGATTGTGCTATATCACACACATAATATCAAGCTACTTGTGCACATGTGAACTCATTCCTGATACAATTTTATAAATACTGTACACAGTAAACTCTTCAGCACATCCAGAAGACATGCATGCACCCCCACCTATATACACAAGGCAAAACCTAACAAAACTCTGATGCAAAAATTCCCAAGGAAAATAGCATATTGTGTAATGTGTTACTTTTGTTCAGCTAGCAACTCAGTACAGCCCTTCTATCATGGTACATTGAGATTACTCTAAGAGATGCTGTTAACTTGCCCATTCAGGGCAATGTGAAAATACCTTGATAAAGGACCCCAAAACCTAATTAAACTCACTTTGCCAGTGCTCCCTCACAGCTCCTGCCTAAGCCACAGCCAGTGACAATACCAGAGTATATGGGAGGTGACAGTTTTCCAGAATGGGCAAGGTAACAATAGCATAGGCAGTAGCATTTCCAGTAGTCACATATGCTCAATAATTAAAAGCAAGCTTAAAAAAGGTGTGCATCTCTACTTCATACTAGGTTTTATTAATGTATAACTCGAGGTTAACAGGCTCGAGTTTTGATCGAAGGCCCCTTTCATATGCGAGGTCCAATCAGGTCTGCCTGTCAGTATTTCAGGCAAAACCCGATCAGATGCCCAGTGTGGGTCTATGGGCAGCCGGACCTAAACAGACAGGTGTCCATTTACATCCAGTTGCCCCCGACTCCGTCCAGGTCCAGAAAAACAAACGGAACAGTGTTCTCTTTTGCTGAACATGATCTTGCCAGATCGGGGGTAATCTGATGTAAACTGACTCATGTTCTTTTACATCTGACTCCCCATAGACTGAAATGGGGTCCGGCCATTTCAGTGTTTTCCTCTATCGCAAGATGGACAAAAAAACTGGACAGACATGGATTTCAGAGCAGGGATCCGTGCACAGATAGTGTGAAAGGGACCTTAGCCTAACTGCTGCCTCAAGAGGAAACGGAAAAATATTAACATGCAATATTTCATATTTCCAATATTATAAAAAAATGTTAACTGACTATAATAAACAGATAAAATATGTATACAATTAATTTTGACTATGATAAACAGAGAAACGTATAAAACTACAGCACGCGTTCTTTTACAGATAGACAAAAAGTCTAAATAAATGTATGTAAACTGTTTTACCAGCCAAATTATTTATAATCCTGCCCAGCCAGTCTGATATACACTGCCATCGCTACACCTCCATTATCCTGTCTGGACAATGACACTATGAGGTCACCCCCCTGCTATACAGTTATGTAAGCAAGCTCCCACAATCTGTAATGACAGCTGTCAGCTCTGGTGTGCAGAGGACTCTGGAAGGGTAGTATAAAGACAGATTTCAGGCATTTATACTAGCATTGTTTAAAACGACATGCAGCTATTTCTTAATAAACGCATAATTGGATTAAACCCCATTTTATATTGTTTGCTTTGAGATCTGTCTGCACATAAGGCTGGACTGAGTTCTACACCCCTGGCTCAACTGCCCACAAAGCACATCTGAATATGAAAGATATGCGATCAAACAGAAGTTATGAAATTTCTATTTAAAAGGATTAGCATGAACTGAAGCATCTCAATTGAATGTATTACTAAGACTGCTCTGTACCTGCTTGACAGATGAGAATAATAAACTTTCAAGTTTGATTTTATGCTGATAAAAGTATTTTGTTCAACATTTATTTTACCAGCACAATTGTACATCATTCTTTAAACTCCACTGTAAGAAGACAAAACGATAAATACAGATTTTAAAGCAGAACTGCAACTTTCTACTAACATGTAAAAAGAAACCCCACATGTATAAACCAATGTAGAATTTCCCAAAAGTAGTAATCCCCAAAGTAAATCCCTAGGACAGCCTTCCTCAGCCATTTCCTTACAGGAGAACTATGGGGTTAAGTCTTTTCCCCATAGTTCTCCTTAGGGTAACGGGAGGACACAAACTAGCGTCCTCCCGTCACCCTAGGCTCAGTATACAGCTAGCTGCTGCTCGCGGTATACTGAGACGCCGCAGCTGAAGCGGATCCCGACAATTGTGCCGGGATCCACCCAGCTGCGTGACTGACAGCTGGCTCTGCCTATCTAAAGGCAGGGCCAGCTGTACCCGCCCCCTCCCCCGTCCGTTCCGCTAGTCAGCGCCTGCGGATCGGAGCGGGGAGGGGGGAATCCAGCCCCTCCCCTGTCACGCCAGAGAGCCGTGACAGGATCGAGAGGTGAGCGAACGCCGGTATGTGTTCGCTCACCTTCCGATCTACTGAGCCGACCTGTGACAGTCTCATTGTCACAGGTCGGCTAGAACTATGAGGTGAGTGGAAAGCACTCACCTCATAGTTCTCCTTTAAGTAAAGGGGGCTCTGATGTGAAGAGTGGCTCGCGATTTGAAACACATCATTTTTTGTGTTTTTGCATTGCCCCCCTTAATATCCATACCAGACGCCTATCTGGGATTAGGGTCTGGTACGGATTTGGGGGGGGGCACAAATCATATTTTTATACTTTTGACATTTTAGGCTGGGGTGTCTCAAGATTTTGGATACTTTTAAGATGCACCGTTAAAGAAAAGAGGATGAGAAAAGCTGCCATAGAGCATCAATGCACCCTACATACCCCTTCCATTTACAGCTCTCTCTCACTTGTAGGCTGATTCCATTTTGAACTTTGGCAACTATTCCTTTGACAAGAATAGGAGGTCTGGCCACAATTGCATCTTAGGGAATTCCCATGAACTAGCAGCCAAACACAATAACTGCAGGCCTACAAGGCTTAAATTAATGGGAACTTCTTTCAGCAAAGCTTAGATGCTGGGAATCAACACAAGCACTGGGATAAGAGCAATTATAAAGTAGGCTGACCATCTGTCCCATTTTAAACAAGACAGTACCATTATTTCATGATTTTTCACGTTCCGTCGTTTCTTTTAAAGTATCAATTTTGTCCTGTTTTCTAGGGATGTGGGGACCTCGGCAGCCTGGCAGTAGCTGTCCCTGTCCGGTTCTATATCTCCTCCTTCTCTTTTCCGGCACGGAAAATCCAAACAGCACAGCACAGCCTCGGAGATGGCACCTGCCCAATCAACTCTCCACAGCATAGCCACTGCCTGCCAAGCAGAGCCCTGCAGAGATCCACATGCCGCCCAGTTGAGATTACAGCCTGGTGAGATGTATGGTGCTCTGGGGACATGTATGGCGCTCTGGGAACATGTATGGTGCTCCGGGGACATGTATTGTGCCTCAGGGACATGTATTCAGCTCTGGGGACATGCATTCTGCTCCGGGGACATGCATTCTGCTCCGGGGGCATGCATTCTGCTCTGGGGACATGTATGGTGCTCTGGTGACATGTATGGTGCTCTGGGGACATGTATGGTGCTCTAGGGACACGTATGGTGCTCTGGGGACACGTATGGTGCTCTGGAGAAATGTATGCTGCTCTGGGGACATGTATTCTGCTCTGGTGACATCTGTATTTAGCTCTGGTGAGAAACTGCCCTAAAATCATCAGTCTGTGTTGTTTTAGAAAAAATGTCACATGTCCCTTTAAGGAAAAGTATTGCCTTAACTTCTACATCCGTGCGGCCAGCCGGTCTCATTAAGGAGGTGCACAGAGCACACTACTAAGAAGTCTCCACCAGTGCTCATTCTGCCTCCTCGGTTGCACTGACTGGGAGGAAGTTAAGTATAGGCGCACAGGGCACACTCTGTGCCTATACGAAACTTCATCCCAGTCAGTGCTGCCACGGAGGAAGGATAAGCGCCAGCAGGGACTTTAGGCCGCCATTTCATATGATCTACAGCAGTGATTTTATCTCAGCAGGCCAGTGCTCTTGAGTGTTAAGTTATCTCAATGTTAATGGCATAGTTCTCTGCTCCTTAGACTGACACAATTAAAGGATATTAAGCAGTATAGGAAGGGGGAAAGGTGCAGAAAAAATGCACTGCATTCACTGGGGGAACTAACAGGGTCGCAGCAGTCGCAATTGCGACCAAGCCCTGGCGTTCCGCCTGCCGCAGCATGTACGGTCCGCTGTGCGGCGGGGCTGGAGAGGAGTCACTTGTTTTGCTGAATGTGCTGCAGGCACCGCCAAGCAGCATTCTGCTGTGTGAGAGAGAAGACCACTTAGCCCCACCCCCTGGCTACCGAGACGTGGTAGAAGGTCCTGCATGAGAGTCAGGTAAGTCTGGACTGGGAAGGGGGGGCGCGGGGAAGGGGGAGTAGAGCTGGTGGTATTCTGCATTGCTTATTTTTATTATAATGTATTGCTGGGACTTGTAGTCCTGCACAGCTGGTGGTATTCTACATTGCTCTATAATGATTATACAGCAATGCAGAATAGCATCAACTATGCAGGACTACAAGTCCCAGCAATGCATTATATTTTTAAGTAGGGATGCAGTGCCAATAGTGGGCATTTTCACGAGCACTCATACTGGTGAAAACTCCGATACTAAACGCAGATACCGGTGTTCTGACGAGAACGCCAGCGTAGTCTAATTTGCCGACCTCGGCATCTGCACTTGCGCCCACAGACCAGTATTGTCGAGGAAACAGGGATTTATTTACATGGTATTTAGTTTAAATCGTTAATTGTGACCATTAATAATATTGCATCCATCATTTACTGCCATGGATGGCATATTATTACCGGTCACAATTAACCATTACAAACGAATACTTTGTAAATAAATGCTGGTTTCCTCGTTAATCCCGTCTGTGCACAAGCGTAGATACTAGGTCGGCGTATTCGACAGAACACCAGCACTAAAATGTTAAACAAGCGGCTTCCTTGAGTC